GAAACTTCCGCTAGCTGTTAGAAGAAAGCCTCATCCACCACTTCCTCCTGGTCTGGTGGTCTATAGCAGACCCCTACCATGCCATCACCCTTGTTGCTCTCTCTGATCCTAACCCAGAGACTTTTGATAGGCCTATCTCCAGTTTCATACTGGAGCTCTCAGCAATCATATGGCTCTTTCACATAAAGTGCAACTCCTCCTCCACTTCTCCAAGAGGCAGAAAAGAGATAGAGGAAAGCAGAATGGCAGTGTTTATTTCAAAAGGACAAAGGTATAGAGTGGAAGTTGTTGTTTCCTCCTGGGCTGGGGGTCGTTTGTGAGAGGTTAATGTGTTAATGGTGAAAAGGGGTGTATAAAAAATAAGGTATTGTTGTATGGGAGGTTGTCAATTTTTACGTTAGTGTAATTTCTTTTAGTTGTTTGTAATAAAAGGTTCACATCAAAATCTTGGTCTTTTTGGCCTAGGGTTACCATATTTCCAGTTTCAAAAGAGGAGAGAACACCTGTTGGGGGTAATATAATTATGGGGGGGAGTGGGTATGGAAAATGCCCATTCCCTGCCCATGTCCCTCACTCCCAAGCCATAGCCCTCCCCAGCCCTGCTGGTGCCCCTCACTCCTGACCCGCAGCCCCCTGCCCTTCCCAGCCCTGCTTCTGCCCTTCACTCCCAGCTTGCAGCCCCCTGCTGCCCCAGCCCTGCTGCCCCCAAAGGAATTCCCCACCCTCTTCCCCCGCTGGAAGGGCAGGCAGCCCCAACAAGCACCTGCCCTCCCTCATACATGTATGCGTGTGTGCACATGCCCACACACACACACACACACACACACACACACACACACTCTCTCTCTCTCTCTCTTTCTCTCCCCAAGTCCTGGCCTTACCTGCTTGCAGCTGCCAGGGCTTGTGAGCAGATGCATGTGATGCCCCTCCCCGACTCCCCCCTCACCTCCTTGCTGGGGTAAGCCAGGAAGCGTTGAGAAAAACTTGGATGCTGAGCAGAGGCGGAGCAAAAACCTGGACACACAGAAACCCTAGTTTGGCTAAGATCAAATGTAGCATTTTTGGCAGCAAGGGGAAAGTGTCAAGGCTGCCTCTGGCCCTCCTGGCATCCAGGCCCAGTGCCAGCTCCCTGTGGAGAGAACATACACCTATTTTTAAGGGTCCCTCAAAAAAAAGGGTCCCATCAGTATGTTTGCCCAATGTGGGCCAGGTGTTTTATGGGCATGCTTAGCATGGGCTGCATTCAATCAACTTCAGTTGGCTTCCATGACTCAGCACATGCTGCTTAGAGCAGCAATTTAATGATAAACACTGTATTTAACTGGGAGGAGGGGGCTTGCGATATGAAAATGTAAGACACAGGGTTTTTTACCCCCATGCTGATTGGGGAGGAATGGGCAGGGTGGGCGGAGGGGGGAGAAACACAAAATTTATCTTATATTCAAATAAATACGGTAAATGTCTACATTTACCAAGATCCACTGGGTCCTCTAGAAACAGCTAGGCTCCCACATTTGTGTTACTGTGCAGGCAGAAAAGTTACTTACTTAGACCAGCTGGCCAGGCATTACTTTTGCCATGATAATCTGCTCCCTGACAAGCAACAGACTGACAGGATGAGCACATATTCAGTTCAGCACAAAACAATGGTGCTAATGGTAGTGTCCACCTCTTGGCCAAGAGCCTACTGCCAAGAAAACTTCATAGAATCATATCATAGAATCATAGAAGTAGGGTCGGAAGGGACCTTGTAGATCTTCAAGTCCGACCCCCGGCCTGGGCAGGAGAGAAACTGGGCTCAAGTGACCCCAGCCATGTAGGCATTGAGCTGCTTCTTAACTTGCCCAGAGGCCCCTGCTATGTTGCATATATTATGCAATTGTTTAACTGCTTAACTGCCCAATACGTTTAGACCAGCCACATGTCCAAAGTAAGAACAGTCACAAGTGCAAAGTAATTATCACACAATTAGCTGGAGAACCATGCAAGAAATTTAGAGTAGCCAAACAGGCAAAGTAATTATCATGGAATAAAAATGACTATCCAGCTATAAAAACAGCCAACCAGCTATAAAGCCAGTGCTTGAAATTGTGTAACAACTTCCATAGCTGGTTTCTATGCAGATTTAATTTCAATGTGTAGTAGGGTTCAAGCTTTCTTCATTCTTAAGGGATTTAAATCCCATTCTCTTACTTTCTAGGAGAGTGGCCTAACCAACACAGCGTGGGCAGGGAGAGGACACTCCATCCTTCTAGTTGAAGGTGGGATATTGGCAACCAAGAGTACAAAATACAAAGGATCAGCAGGAGAGCAAGCAAGAGGGAGTATATGTAATTCTGACTATATCTCTAAGTGACTAATGTGATATGAAAAACTGTGAAAGAAATGCTTCGTCAAAGGGGGTTTGTGCCCTTCATGCCTGAAGAATGGTGTTCGTGCCTGAAAGCTTGTAAAGAATTTTTCCAACTATTTAGCTGGTCTAATAAAAGATAACACTTTCACCCCAAAACCTTGTTTGCCTATGTTCTGTTAGTGACATTCCAGTGTTGACATACTGCTTTTCTGAAGGTAAAAAGAGCAGCGAAGGATACAATGCAGTTTAATCTGTCTTCAGATAATTCAACTGATCTCTGCAGTTTTGGCTCATTTTAACTCTAATATTAACACTCCTTCAGCCTTTTCATTTACTCTACATTCTCATATCACAAATGAGAAAAAATGTCTTTTTACTTCTCTTTGATCCACCAAACATGAAACCAAAATATTTTAAACAGATTTCAGTAGGCTGTTTCAAATTGTCATCTTTTAGTGCATTACTGCAGAAATAACTTCTGAATCAAAGTTCTAATAAATCAATGGAAAGGATCATAGAATTCAACTATATGCAACACCATATAATTAATTATATAGATAATAAGAGAATTATGTGGTAAGTCCCAACAATATTAGATTTATTAGGCTGTATTTTATATAAAGTTTCAATTTACAAAGGGTTAATATATGCTTAATAGATATTTTTTGGACATGATAAATGAACAATGTATATATCAGAAATTGTTATATCAGTTGAAAATGCTAGAGATAATTATTAGCAACTAGTTCCCTTTAAGATACTAAAGCATTTATTTAAATATTAACCTCATATTACCTCTTAATATACTTTTATATACTATTATACATTAAATCCTTAATGTAGAAAAGTGTGAACACATTTGTTATTTCCTTAATTCAATAATTTTCTTAATTATAGCTATCTTGAGTGTATAAACAGAACTGCTACACACTTAAAAGTCATTTTCTAAGATGAATATGTGCTGAGTCCAGTAGACATTCCGCGTGGTAGGTATAAATTTGTTAAAATGTCATCTCTTCAGAGACATAATCTCTTTGCCTTTCTGCCCTTACTCATTTACATTTATTTAATTTTAAAACTATGAAAGTGCTGAATTGACAACACTGGAATCCAGGATGACCAGCAACAATTTTTGTGCTCTCCAAAATTTTGTACCCATTTTGAGAGAATATTCTAACTCCTTTTCCATTAAATACTTGTCACTGCTGTAAAAAGTCTCCTTAGAAGAACACCTAGCAATACCAGCTGCTAACTGTGATAAGAAAACAAATGGTGGGGCACCCTACTGCGAGGCACTGAGCTGAGATTTCATAACATGGGCTTAATCACAATGAACAAAAACATTTGGAAATACATAGATTAATTGTAACTAGTTAATGGACTGATTACATAATTAATCATAACTAACTGATTTACTCTGTTTAGTTCAGACCACCACAACCAACATAAAGAGATAAGCGTAATTGAAGAGGTAGATGTTGTGCAGTAGTTAAGGCTCTAAAAAAAGCCTAACACTACAAAGGCTCTAAAAAATGGGGAAAAACAAATGGCAAATTATCAACTACTTGGGCAGTCAGTGATTAGTTTCAATTCCATGCTACTACTCTGCACTATCTAGATATTTGCTGTCCAAAACTGCAGTAGTCCAAAAATGGACCTTACAGTTGGAAGGGATCAGAGACCATTTCCCTCAACCTTACTAAATACCAAAGTATCTAAAAATTTAAATCTAAAAGCTGCCCAGTCGCATTTTTGTTTTATGATTTTCACAACACAAAATCTTCTTCAAGGTTTTCTTTAGTTGACGGAAGACAAAAAAGTCACATGGGGCCATACCAGGTGAATATGGAGGCTGTGGCACTTGTGGGATATGTTATTTGGTTAAAAATTGCTTCACAAGCTGTGCTGAGGGGGCAGGAGCGTTGTCATGGTGAAGCATCCAAGAGTCAGGCACCCACTTTTCTGGTTGTTTTTCTGGTCATTTAATTCCAAAATTGCCAGTTAGAATAGAATGACATGAACCTACAGAAATTCCAACTTCTGCTATGTCTTGGACAGTCAATAGCCTATCATTTCCAACCGAACTGCGAACCACTGCTGCATTGTCATCGTTTTGTGATGTTGAAGGCCATTTGGAACGCTCATCGCTTTCAACCGATGATGGCCCTTGTTTAAATTAATGATACCATTCAAAAACTGTTGGATGGCTCATAGTGTCATCACCAAATGCTATTTTAAGTAATTCAAATGTTTCACTTGCTGTTTTCCCTATCTTCATGCAAAATTTAATGCACACGTGTTGTTCTGGACACTATGACATAACAAAAGGCGACGCAAGACACAAACAATCTTACTTAAACTGCTGGCCACAGAAAACTGGGGAAATGCCATGAACTGCAAACCTGTCCAGAGGAGTCCCAACATGCCCAGATGTGTTCAGCAAAGCCATGCCCCCCACCCAATACTTTGTACCACAAATACACGTTCAGTCTTGATACTTTTTTAACAGACCTTGTATACATATATATACTTAAGCAGTATGAAAGTTTATTTTCCTGAAATTAATCTTCTATGGAAAATAATTACAACTATCACAACCAAAACATGTTAAGAATGCAAGGAAGAAGTGCGTCAATTCAGTACTTACAAAGTCTTGTCGTATGTCATTGAAGTCTTTGCCATACTTTTCCAAAGCTTCTTCAAATAAACTAGCTTCTGATGCTGACCATTCTTCCATTTCATCTCTACAAAGAACAGGCCCTCCAAGTGGTACTAGAACACTAATGGCACTGCTCAAGTCATAGTTGTGTTTATGCAAGGTATCCATTGCATGAAACTGAGAGAGAGAGAGAGAGAAAGAAAGTAAAAATAAACCACTGAATTAAAGAGTCATGAACCACAGAACACTTCTAATGAAAGTATTATATTTTATATCATATTATGAAGCATGTCTTGTTGCTAAATTTAAATGCATCCTGTTGCATATCATCTGACATAGATTATTAGAAATGCCCAAATTATTCTGATAAGAGTTATTTTGGGGAAGGACAGTTCATGATAATAAAAAACTACAGTACTTAATTTTATTTAATTCAGATAAATTGCCTATGCATTATTAGCATGCTTTTTATTTTGACAGACCTTCTTCTGGTATAAGTGGGCACAGGCCCACTTAACCCAATGAAGACATGCCAACTGGCACCAGACAAGTATCTGGCAAGTTTGTTTTCACTGAGTAAGGATTATAAATAATGCTAAGCCAGATATGCAAACTTCTACTGGTCCCAAACTGTCAATCAATTGATAGGAAAGGAAATTACCATTTGTATTATTGTTGTTGTTACCATAATGAGAAAAGAGTAAGAAGATTTTATCCAGGTATGAAATGCTTTCATGAAAAATTATACATGGCTAGGTGATGGGCATTTTTCTTTGGTAGAAGGCAGAGAAAAACAGAAGCCACTAAAAAAGAAACTGCATTCTATGTTCAATTGCTTTGAAACAATCGCTGAAGACTCCTATCACTAACAAGCAATGGGGAAGATAAAAAATTAAGAGGTGCATTGTGAATCCACCTCAGAAAAGGCATGTAACAAATAAAATGAACGGTTAACCCAAAGTCCTTTCTACAGCTACCAGCAGCTGAGAGACCAACAGAACCAATGCTGTTCTCTTCAGTTGAACAGTCAAGTTGTCCCTTCATTCCTTTTACAGGTTTATGTAGCAAATTTTGCATCAGAAATTAAGTCTGAGATAAAAATAAGAACACCATCATGCAGCCTATCTTCTTTATTGTAAAATTTAATGGAAAAATGGTCACTTTTGTCTAACTTAAACATTTTTTTTTAAAAACACGTTTTAGTAAAAAAGACAGAAAATACTTAGAGAATAACATTCTATTCTGAATGTTAAGATGACAAGCTCCTGAACGAACATCCTTTTTTCTTTATTCAGGCTAAAACCCCAACTCTCCTGTTCAGGTAGACTCCTGTATCATGGTAGGCAGGCAGGGAGACTGCAACAGCCCAGGGACTCCCAAGACAGGGGAAAGTTTCATAGTAGTTTGGGGTCAGAAGGGACCTGAACAGATCATCTAGTCTGCCCCCTCGCCACTGGCAGAAGCACACGCTGGAATCACACGACCCCAGACAGGTGTTCGTCCAACCTCTTTTTGAATTTACCCAAGGTAGGAGCGAGGACCACTTCCCTAGGAAGTTGGTTCCAGATCCCAGCCACCCTAACAGTGAAATAGCGCCTCCTACTCTCTAACCTGAACCTATTCTCCAGCAGCTTCTAGCCATTGTTCCTCATCACCCCAGGTGCTGCTGGGGAGAATAGGGCCCATCCTATTTGCTGCTGATCTCCCCTAACGAGTTTGTAGGCAGCCACCAAATCCTCCCACAACCTCCGCTTGCTGAGGCTGAACTGGTTCAGGTCCCTCAGCCTCTCCTCATAGGGCCTGCCCTGTTGCCCTCCAACCAAGCAGGTGGCTCTCCTCTGAACCCTCTCAAGGCAGGCCACATCCTTCTTAAAGTGCGGTGCCCAGAACTGGACGCAGTACTCCAATTGTGGCCTGACCAATGTTGCATAGAGGGGGAGCATCACCTCTCTGGACAGGCTTGAGATGCATCTTTGGATGCAAGACAAGGTGTGGTTGGCTTTGCTGGCTACGGTCTGGCATTGGTGGCTCATGCTCACCTTGGAGTCAATAATGACTCCAAGATCCCTTTCTGCCTCTGTGCTCAAAAGGGGGGAGCTCCCCAGCTTGTATGTATGCTGTGGATTCCTTCTCCCCAGGTGCAGCACCCTGCATTTATCTATATTGAACCCCATTCTATTACCATCCGCCCACTTCTGTAGTCTGCCTAAATCTAATTGCAGCCTCTCTCTCCCTTTGAGCATGCCTACCTCTCCCCACATCTTGGTGTCATCGGCAAACTTGGACAACGTGTTTTCCACCCCCTCGTCCAAGTCGCTGATGAAGCTGTTGAACAGTGTAAGCCCCACTATTCACATCCCGCCAAGGTCGAGTACAACCTGTCCACCACCACTCTCTGGGTGCGCCCCATCAGCCAATTTTTGACCCATCCAACTGTGTAGGCATCAATGCCACAGTCGCTTAATTTATTAATGAGAATGGGGTGAGGGACAGTGTCAAAGGCCTTTTTAAAGTCCAGAAAGACTACATCCACAGCAACACCATCATCCAGGGATTTACTTACCTGGTCATAAAAGGCCATCAGGTTGGTCTGGCAGGACCTGCCTTTGATGAACCCATGTTGATTTCCCCTGGGCATGATCTCCCCTGCTGGCCCTGCACAGATGTGATCCTTGATAGTTATTTCAAGGGTTTTCCCCAGGACCGATGTGAAGCTTATGGGCCTATAGTTTCCTGGGTCCTCCTTTCTCCCTTTCTTATAAATGGAGACCACATTAGCTAGTTTCCAATCTCCAGGCACCTGGCCTGTGGACCACGATCGCTTGTACAGCCTGGCCAAGGGCATAGCAATGACCCCCGCCAGCTCTCTCAACACCTGCGGGTGGAGGGCATCAGGGCCCGCAGATTTAAAAACATCCAGCCCTTCCAGAAAATCCCTAACTACATCTGCATAGACCTGAGGCCTGGCAGTGCTATCCCCAAGATTGCCCCTACCTGTGGTGGGAGAACTGTCCTGGTCCCTGTCCAAGAAAACAGAGGCAAAGAACTTGTTAAAAATTTCGTAGCCACAAGATTACCATTTGAGTCTAGCAGGGGCCCTACATTACCCGGTGCCCTCTTCTTACTCCCTTTAGATCTGAAGCCAAGCTGGGATACACCACAAATGAGGGACTATAGGATGGGAAGGGGCATTTTCAGCTCTCCCAAGCAGAAACAATGAAGAAATTCTCTGAAGAAAGACAACAACAAAATCTTACTACTATAATTTAATAATATCTTGAATAAATACATTTTAGAGTCCTGGCTTGCAGAAGTCAAGTGTTTCGACTCCTAATTCACAAAATCAGAAACCTTGTGTAAAATTCAAAGTCACATTTCTTTATACTTTATTTTCTTTCGAAAAACATCTCAGGCTATGATTTGTTACCCCACAGACAAGATTTAAGAGCTAATTCCGCTGAGAGAAGCAAGAAGAGAGATTCTGTCAATCTACTTTAGGTTTCTTTAAGATGCTTATCGTCATCAATCTATGCACTACACAAGATACAGCAAGTCTAGAAAAAAAGTCTTTCAGGTTTTCTACATTCTTCCCTAAGGCTTTTATTCTTCAGCATTCAGTATTTCCAACAAGTGAAATAAAACTGCCTGTACTGCATAGCCAGAAAGCTAAACCTCAGTCCTGCAGCAATAAGATGTGGAATTCCACCGTGCTTCAAAAACTCTTCCTTTTTTATCCTTCAACTAGTTCATCTTACAGCGTTTGCTGTCTTTTGGCAGGGACAGGGACAGGAGGTACTTTTCAGAGGTCCCATTAAACCGAAAGATTCCACTGCAGGCCCTATTTTTCATTGGCCAGCCGTACTAAAATATAAGCATGAGGCAACAGGGGCTGTTGACCAATTTGGAGCCCTACATAACGGCACAATTTGCACAGCCATAACGCCACCCCCTGAGCAGAGATATCTTGGTGCTTCTAGTTATGACTCTTCATCTTCACCTAAGCATGCAATTGGGGAAGCTAAAAGACAACCCCTGGCTTGCCAGTCATCCAGTGGAGTCCCTGCAGCTTGTCCTACATCTACAATCAACCCAAAATAATAACACTTATTTAACAAAAAGCTTGATTAAACCACCTCCTAATAGAACAACCAATTAGGAATGTGGCAAACATAGAGCTTAGGCACTGCTATTTTCCCATCAATTACACTTAAAGTGTAACGCCAAACTGCTAACATGTTCAGTACAACGTATTGAGGATTATACACCCACAGAACATCACTTCCCAAGTGCTAATCAAATACACTATTCACCACAACCTTTTTCTAATGAGGTATCAACTGTTAAGTGCTACTCAAAACATGTCCTCCAATTACCATGGGAATATATGACAGGCGTGAATCCTATGAGAATGAGCATCTTTTCTTAATTTAGGGGAAAGACATCATGCATTGACAATAAGAAGGGTTTAAAAACTCTTAAAAAGCAGACAAGTGAAGGGAAAAATGAACAAATATAATTAAAGCTGTGGTGTCTCCTCTGCTGTCTCATAATAAGATATAGCTTCCATTAAGTGTAATGGAAGTTAATAGATCATTTGCAAGGCACAAACTTTCATACTTCTCATACACTAAATGCATCACTTCAGCAACATTAATATAATATGTACCTTTACACAAAAGTGGAAAAAGTACAGTATTAATCACTGAACTGTACAGTAAGAAAGGTATATAATCTGTAGTATTTACAGGAAATTCTTGATCCATTTAATATTTAAAAGATGAAAGTGTGCATAAATGTCAAAGTGAAGAACTATTCTAGTCTGAAACATTTACAGTGAATAGGAGTACATCGTGGAAAGGAAAATCAGAATGCATCTTTTATGTTTGAAAGCTTAAATATTATTGAGGACATTATATTCTGTAATAAAGTATTGCAATTGCCTTTACCATATCACAGTTATCTAAAACAAGATAGTTTTCCATTTAATTGCTTTTAGTATCTATAAACTGGGCAAAAGTGAAACATTTTTCTTATGATCAATACATTTGATATGAAACAAGTATTTACAGTAAAGCAGCCAGATGGTGACCAAGTTAAATGTGATTTTAGCCAAATAACTATAAGTGTTCTCTTTTAATTCTCTTAATATATTTTCAGTATACTGTTATTTATGATCCTCTTTATGTCCACCTCAGGTAGTCTGCAAATACAGGGATATATCTAACTTTTTAACACTGTTTTTTTAAACAATGTATTAACGATATAGAAGTTTCAAGTACAGTTAATATGTGGGTATTTCACCATAAGTGAAATACTCACCAGTGGAATAAACCATTTATAAAATTTGGTTCTGTTTATGTCATCAGAATACAGTGGTATTTGGAGTTACATATGAGTATCATATAAAACATTTAAAAAATCAGTATGACCTGTTTAAAGTGTATTATTTTTATAATATTTAATTAGGCTTCTAGTCAGTATAACTAAAATTATTATTCTTGACAAATTATGAGACAGCAAATCCCATTATGCATGCTTTACAGAGTACATATTAGTTACTCTCTATTGTCAGTTCTGGCATTTACCACAAGTTATATTTAACAAGAATGTTTTATTTATGATCTACAATTGGCCAAAAGCAATCTCTTGAGCTTGCGGCTGCATGGTCCAAATCTAAGGGCCTCCCACTGGAGTCCTGGGGAAAGTCTAAGGTTTTCAAAGCATATCTATACCGTTTCTGACTGCAGTGCCATGATGAATGCATTATCCCCATCCACAACCACCCACCTGCACGCACACACTCTCATTCAAGAGTCTGTGGAGCAAAAGCCACAAAAAGGTATTGTAACTAGTGTTCGGCATGCACTCAGCACATGCCCAGCACAGCTCTCCGTCTCTGGTGTCTACTAGTGCACATCTACGCTGCTGTAACAGTGGCTATATTACTTTTTTTTGGCATTTGGAACACATGGTATGGGAGTGACTGGATGTGCCATTTTTCCATAGCAGACAAGGTTCCTTGGGTGAATCTGATATATTTTTTTAGACCAACCAAAATAGCTGGAGAGTAGTTATTAAGCAAGCTTTCCGGTTCAAAAACCCTTCGTCAGGCTAAGGAAATTTCAGCAGTTGGTGTGTGCTCTTCCTGGATGGTCTTCCATAGCAGCACTTAGCATAGTCAGAGGTAGGGCAAACATATTCTTAGGTGCTACAGTGACATTGCAATCAATTAAGTCCTCTTACTTTACCAGGAAAATACAAATTGAAATCATTTTAAAGGGCCATGAAAACAATCCCAATGTTTCAAAGGCTTAAAGGCTGGTGGCTCCACCACTACTACTTACTATTTCCAAAAGTTTCTCCCCTTACTTTACTTAAAAGGAATAGTTTAACTTACAATAAGCATTCCATCTATGGTGGTTTATGTTTTCATGCACATACCTATCTATACACTAACCCATACAGCTCAACAGATTTCAGTTTCCAAAAGTCCCCCTACTTTAAAGCATCTGACTGCAGGTTTACCCTTCCTTACCCATTTCCCCTAGTACAGTGGTTTTCAAGCTGGGGCACCCCCACGGGTATGTGACTCAATATTAATAATGGAAGTGGAACTTTTCATTGGTCAATGTGATGAGCAATGACTTAACCATGTGTTGACATCAATGCTGACACTCTTCCTAAGGAACGAGCATACAGAGATATGTTGGATGTAGGGCAGGGATGGGCAAAATGGTGGAACTGGCCAGAAGCTGGACTCCATTTCCCAGCAGCAACTACCTGTATGGCTGGTGCCAGTTTCTGTTGAGACCCTGGCCGCAGATGTGCTGTGATAGCACAAGGCTGGGGTTGCCATGGAGATCGGCCCCAGCTACGCTGGCAGGGTACGCAGCAGACCAGGGGGGCTGCTCCAGAGCTGCTGGGATCTTTTAGCAGGGGACAGCTTAATCCGGAGCCAGGGCAGAGCCGTGATCTGCAGGTTGCCCGCTCTGGTCAGGGGCGTGCAGACAGCAGATTGTGGCTCTGCCCTGGCTCCCGACCAGGCTGTCAGCACTGCAAGGAGCCAGGGCAGAGCTGCAACGTGCAGCCTGCATACTCCGGGCAGGGACATGCAGGCAGCTGATCACAGTTCTGCCCTGGCTCCCTGCAGCGCTGACAGCCTGGTTGGGAGCCAGGGCAGAGCCCCAATCCGCTGCCTGCATGCCCCTGCCCAGAGCATGCAGGCTACAAACAATGGCTTTTCCTTCCCTCCACACCAAGCTGCCCCCGCTGCAAGATCCCAGCGACTCCAGAGCAGCCCCCTACCCTGCCATGCGCCCTGCTAGCACAGCTGGTGCCAGTGTCCATGGTAACACCAGCCTTGTGCTATCACAGCGCAGCTGCGGCTGGGGTCTCCATGGAGACTGGCCCCAGCCATGCAGGCAGGGGCTGCTGGGAAATGGAGTCCACCAGCGGTCAGATCTGGCCCACGGACCGGACTCTGCCTGCCCCTGGTGAAGTGGGTATAAGCAGTAATATTTTTCAAGGAAAGTAGTTCATGGCCAAAAAAGTTTGAAAACAACTACTCTAGTATATAGTAGAATGGGGGCACCTATGGAAGAGGTGCTTAGAACTGTGCTCTACTGTCATGTAACATGAAAGGATCTGGAGAAAGCAGAAAGTGGGTAAATACAGAAGAGACAAGCAAATGGTGGCTTAGACAGGTTGGGAATAAGGAGCAGTACTGCCCAGTACTGTGATACAGAGGAGAAGCACTATGGGTATGGGATGGAGGTGGGATGGTGTGTGCCTTAGGAATGCCTTAAATGTTCAGAAGACACTTTCATCATTTGCTATTTTTTAAGGCAGTCGGGTGATAAAAATAAACAAAAAAGAATATTTGTAGGGGAGGAGTTGTTATTCAGACATTCTTGAAACAAATCTTTTTAACAGTATTTCTTATCTGGCAAGTGAAACATTCTTCTCAAATATGATGCTAAACTAGGAGGCAAAAATATAGTAAAAGATGCAATCTCTTTTCATATCAAAATGTCCTGATGAGCTAATTAGCTTGACTACTCTTGTATCTCAATGCTTTTCATTTCTTCAAGGTGATAAAAGCAGACAACTTGATTTTTACTTACTCTCATTCATATTTATCAGACAAAAACAGAGACTGGTTTGATTTTAAAAAATAACCTGGTGGCTCAAAATCTATAAATATCAACTGGTGACAAATTGACAATATACTTTTAGTATCTAAACCCATTTCTGCTGAAGCCTGTGGGTGCTGCTTAGCAACTTAAATGAAAACAGGAGCAGGCTTATAGGTAAATCTGTGTAAATATTGTGTATAATTACCTACTATAAACATAAATAGCTTGCAACCCCCCTTATCTGTAGAAAAGCAGTCCTGACACAATATAGCCTACTGAATTCTCATTTGCACAAAACTCCTATATTTATATATAGTACATTTATATAATATGCAACAATACCAATCTGGAAGGGGTTGCCAGCACTCTGGAGGACAGGATCAGACCTTGAAATGACCATGACAAATTGGAGCAATGGTCCAAAATGAACAAAATGAAATTCAATAAGGACAAAGTGCTACTCAAGAAGGAGAAATGAACAGTATAAACGTAAAATGGGGAATAACTGACTAGGCAGCAATGCAGCAGAAAAGGATTTCTGAAGTTTAGTTTGGATCACAAACCAAGATATAATTCATTGATGTGATATTGTGCACAGGGCACAAATGAATGTTAAGACCCAAGAGGTAGTTATTCCTCCCTATCCAGTGCTAGTGAGGCCTTAGTCAGAGTCTTGCATCTAGCTTGGGGCACAGTATTTTAAGACACTGACAAATTGGAAAGAGTACAGAGAAAAACAATAAGAATAACAAGAGGCTTATAAAACATGACCTGTGAAGAAATACTGAAGGAAATGGGTTTGTTTAGTTTAGACAAAGGAAGACTGAGGAGGGACATAATTTAGTCTTTAGCTACATGGAAGGTTATTAGAAAGGAGACAGTAGTTAACTGTTTTCTGTGGCCACTCAAGGAAGGACAAGAAGAAATCAACTTAACTTGCACAGCAAAGAGGAGTTGAGTTGGACATCGGAAGAAACCGTCTAACAATTAAGGAGGGAAAAAACTAGAACAGCCTACCTTGTTTCTGTGGAATGAAGTGGATCATGACATCTACTTCATTCAAGTTTGTTTTTTAAAGGTTAAAAAATCATATATTGGGGATGTTTTAAGTTTATACTCAGTGATACCTCACAGGGCAGTGGGAAGGACTAGAGGATCTCGTATGGTCCTGCCCAGCTCTACAGTTCTAGAATTCTTAATTGTAGCATTTCTACCAAACCTCTCACCAGAGTGATGTCTCGAGAAGCAGCAGCTGCACTCATGTGTAAACTCGGTTGCCTGACAGAACTACTGCAGTCCAAAGCCCGAGCAAACGTGCCAACCGCACTAGGGGGAAAAAAAAAGATAAATAAAAAAATTAATATTATTCTCTTTCATTACCGGTTTAGCCTTCCATCAGTTAAAATGAATTTATGAATTAAAAGCCACAAAGTAGGTTTAGATTACAAATTTAAACAATGAAAAAAAATTTGATAACTGACAACATGGTAAAAAGTCACAATTGCTATTTTAAACAACAGCACTCTAAGTGAAACAACAGCTCACCACTTAAATAGTATGAAAACTAAGTTTTTTTAAAGTAATCAGATATTAATTATTACAAGTGGCCCAGTATACTAATTCCCTCTTTACTATGAGTTAAAGGGTTCTGCTCAGTTTGGATTTTGTCAATACTGTGTTTTTTAAATGAAAGACTAAACAGCGACTGACAAAACAAGTCAATATTCAGAGCACACACGCCAGAAGTTGTTCAGGTCCTGCTCTAGACTCATTCCAAGGAACAATGCCGGTTGGCCCACCTGGCATTTTATAGATTAACTGAAAAAGACATATATAGAGAGCACAAGCTTTCATACACCCAGGTTCACTTTATGAGATGGTTAGGTTACCGTGTTATTCAGGCTGAGGAATAAAAGGCAGCCAGATATGATGCTAACCACAAGGCTCTCTTGTGTGTTACGGGCTCTCTGGTGTGCCTTAATGACACGAGAATAGTTCCACTAAACTCAATGGAATTAGTCACATGGAGTAAAGACAAATTTTCTGAGTAAATCTTTGCAGGATGAGGGCTGCAAGTCAAATTTATGAATTACTTTGAGGGGACAAATCATATCTAACAGGTATGACACTTACAGAGGGCATGCTATGTATGAATAAGTGTTATTCCATTCTTGATATAGATCATGACTCAATTACATAGTGACAAAATACATTTCAAGAGCTAATACAATGCATTAAGTTAAAGCACTAACCAGTCAGGAACAAATTAATACAATTTAGCTATTATATAGCATTTGTACCACACATATTATATTACAGAGCAGGAGAAGTATAAAACTATTAATAAATAAAACATTTGTTAACACAGAATTAGGATTGCTCTTCATACTTTGAAAATGTTAAATGTTAATTAATCCTGCTGTAAAGCTTTAACTCTGCCTTCTGGTACTTGCAAGAACCACTGAGAATTTACCTCAAATACTGTATTTGCTCCCATACAATGCACCCCGATTGTTTTTGAAAGGCAGAAAAAAGAGAAAAAAAGATTTTCCAGAGTTCTGACTGCAAAGAGCAGGGACAGAGCCTAATCTTCAGATGACTCATCCTCCCTTTTCTGCTTAGCTAAAGCTCACACCCCAGTACTAAAGACTGGTCTCCATGAGTTTATCTGATTTTGAAAAGTGCTATAAAAGTCTCCAAGGCTGTAAAATAGGAGGAGAAACAAGGGGCAGATAGCAGACAGTAAAACTGTCCTAAAAGGGTTAGCTTGATTCATGGAACATCAAAAGCATTAACACCTCTGGAATGAAGAACTATAGAGCAAGAATCAAAGCAGGGTGCTCCTCTCCAGGCAGAAAATCAGCTTCCCCACTTAATACATGCACCCA